CACCTATGTTTATAATTGCTACTTCTAAATCCTACGAGGAAGTGTCAAGCATGAGAAACCAATCCACGCAAGCGCTGAATTTGTCCATACTCCAAGATTACTCAGTCAGCCGAGCTAGGGTTTGAGCACCTGCTGCAGGCGGGACAAGGGACTTTTTCAAGTGGAGAAGGCAGATGAACGTGGGGGGAAGAACAGCAGAGAACTCAGGGTGCTAACAAGGCCCAGCTGAAGCATCAACAAGAGAGACAGTGGGGCAGAGACGGGGGTAGCAGAGGAGAGCACTGGCAAGAGCAGGTAAGGCAGGGACCATACAATGTCCGACAACCCGCAGCAAGGAGTCGCCGAATGCACCAACCGCACACTCATGACCAGGATCCGCACCCTCTTGCAGCTGAGCGACGTTGACGCGAAGTACTGGCCCTACGCCATGCATCACGCCGTACGCCTTCATAATCTGCTCAGCACCACCGCCAACACCGACAACCTTTCACCTCACCTCAAACTCACTGGCGACGAGGGCGTCATCTCCATGCTCGACGACTGGGGTTGCATGGTGCAATATCGAGCCGCAGCGGCAACCACAGGAAAGTTCGAGCACCGCACACACTGGGGAGTGCACCTCGGCATCAGCCTCGAGCACCTCGCCTGGAACATCCTCGACCATGATACCTCAAGAGTGGTCGCAGCGCGCGACGTCATTTTTTACGAGGACCTCACAATCCGCAAGTTCCAGCGTGATCGCCATGCTGACCGCACCAGAGGAGAAAACAACATCGCCAACTATGAGTGCACACCCCGCAGCTTCGCCACTCCCGCCGACGAAGCAGAAGCGGCGCTCGCGAACCATGATCCCACGGATCCTCACCCCGGCCCTCGCCCATGGAGCGACGAGGATGACGATGAGGACAGTGCGCCCCTCGACTCCTCACATGACTCTCTGCTCAGCCCCACCCCGTTCAACGGGAACGATTCCGACGACGATGTGGTGGAAGTCACCAGCGAGCAGTAGCACAGCCCCGGACACTTGGGTCTGCACATCCTTGGTCTCCACACCACGGTCTCCTGCCCGCCAATATGGTCGAACTCAAAACCACGCGCCAGACCCTCACTGGCCCTTACGCCAAAGAATGGTGCACTATGATGGACGCTGAAGTAGCTGTACTCCAAGCTCGCAAGATCTGGGTTCTTGCTGACCGCGCTGCGCTGAAGGGGAGACGCAACCTCTCGGGAAAAGAGTCTTCTGCGTTAAAACCGTCGCCGATGGGACCATCGAATGCTTTAAAGACCGCTAGATTGTGCATGGCTTCGACCAACGTGACGGCGTTGATTTTGAACAGACCTTCGCTCCCGTCATCCGCCACACGTCCATCCGCACTCTCCTCGCCATCGCTGCTGCAAAGCATCTCCCACTCCGCCAGATCGACGTAAAAAACGCGTTTCTCTACGCACCCGTTGATGCGCTCATCTTCGTCGAACAACCGTACACCTACGGCGACGGCGAAGACAGCGTGTGTCAGCTCAAGAAATCGCTCTATGGCATCAAGCAGGCACCGCGTCTCTGGCAGCAGCATCTCCATCAAATTCTCCTAGACATCGGCTTCACTCAGCTGCCTCACGACCCAGGCATGTATCGCCTTCACTATTGTGACGACTACATTCTTCTCACGACATATGTCGATGACCTCCTCTACACCGGCACTAGCAACGACCTCCTCGCCCAATTCAAGAAAAACCTCAACAACCGCGTCGAAATCACCAGCACCGATCACGTCACTCAGTTTCTTGGCCTCAACATCTCCTACGCGGCTTACGCCATTCACATATCTGCTGCTAAGTACGCTGGGACACTCTCTGCTAAATACAACATCAAGACGGCTAACATCTCCACTCCTTACCGCACGCAGTCCAACCCCAACAATCCCAACACCACCCCTCTCAACCCAACAGAAGATCAACTATACCAGCAGCAACTCGGCTGCCTTCTCTTCGCTGCAGTCACGTGCAGGCCCGACTTGTCCTACATGTCGGAAATTCCCTTACCTCTCTGCCTCCCGCCGGTCTCACCTCGTGCTACCAAGTCTCCTCGTGCCATTCCCCTGCCCTTACAATCTCATGTGATACCTCTGTTCCTTACTCTGGGTCAGCCTCACTGCTCCTTGTTGGTGATAGCTCCTTGCCCCCTCCCATGACTTGCAGCCGCCCTCGCCCTGGTCACGGGACCCTGCTACACCTGCACTCTGTTCCCAGCCCTCGCCACATTGGTAACGTGATCCACTGCGCGTACCCCAGTCTCACTCTCCAGGACAAGCACTCCTGAGTCTCGAATCTCCTTGACGGTCCACCGCTGATGAGACAACCCCACATCCAGACCGTCTTTCTTGGGCCTACGAATATACACCTCCTGTCCCTGCTGTAAGGCTGTTGGCGTTCCGCCAGCCCGCTGCTCCTGTCGCTTCTTATAGCGGTGGATGTCACCCAGCTGAGCGACATGCAGACTCTCCAACGCCGCTGGCAGCAGGCGGCGAAGGTACTCTCCTCGCACTCTTGCTAAGGCTGCCCACTTCTCCGACGACCCTGCGGTCACCGCGACTATCAGCACCCGCGAAGCCCCTGTCGGCATCAGCGCTTCCCTCCCAAAGGGGAGATGGTATGGGGAGAGGTCCCTGAGCGCCGCCTGCTTGCTAAACCTGTATCCTGCCATGACCCTGTGTGTTGGTGTAAGGGCCTAAAAAAACTCAAGCTATTAGGACTTAATCAAACTTAAAACCTCTCCTCGGGGTCACCTCCAAGGGTCCCTGGGTGCCTGGTACAAGACCAGCCCCTATCCTCGGGTCCGGGTTTGTAGAGAGAGGAGTTTAAGAATGACTTAGCCAAAATAACAAGAGTACCTTGAACGTCGCGCAGCGTGCCGTGCAGACCGTCGATCGGATAAAGCTGAGAATTCGCTATATCGAAGCTCGCTCCAAGAGCTATAAAATAAGCCAAGTTGCCTCGCGAAAAGTTCTGCCATTACAAAGTTATGGCTCGGACAGCGTTTGCCTAGCGTTGGAGTGCTAGCATACTAGCATTGACTCGGGTAGCATTCCGCCGTCGAATAGCGCAGAAACGAAACTCCAGCGAGGAAGGAATTCGCTTGAATCAATTTTTACTATATTCAGGTACAAACAGAGAAGGATTAAATAGTTCTAGCTAGCACAGACCTTGGGAATCAACCTGGGAACAACCAGGGATGATCCCAAAAAATTCCAAGCAGCAGAACCAACCTGGCTGGACAAAATAGCAGGTGGTAGGTTGGTAAACAACCTCTGGTTCTGTTTTTTCCAACCTGGGAAAACAACAACCAGGTTCAGGTTCTAATAACAGAACCTGTTTTGTCTTTGCCCAACCAGCCAAATGCTGATTCCGCTGGTTTCCCCTGGCCCTGTAGCATGCAGATACAGACAAAGAACATCCAACCTTCACCTAAATTGTATCCCTATAGTGCCTGCCCTGCTACACTATAGTCAACCAAGCAAAACAGTACAATTTCGAGTTGGATAGAACTGGATCTGCGCAATCAATTCAACCGAACCGCAAAGCTTCCATCCTGGGTTCCTTTGCGAGCTCGTCCTTTCTGCTTGCACAGTTCATAGCGCGTACAATGTTGTGCCGAAGCGCACATTGCGCGAGTACCTGCAAATGCATCGAGCGAAAATTGCGAAAGCAAACAAACACACGAACATTCCATTCACACACAAATGCATTCGCACACGCATACTCGTACAAACAGACGGCAGGATGTCGTGCAATGTGCATTTGCACCTAACACACTCCCCCTCAGCCTGCCGGCTGCATCCCCATCATTCCATGCTAGTTCATGCTCATTCCACTCATGCGCACACAACGCCAATGAGGCTCATCCGCAAGCCTCTTGGTGAGAAAGTCTGCTGGCTGCTGATGAGTCTTGATATAGATCGGATTCACCGTCCCCCTCTTCACCTCCTTACGCAGCCAGTGCCACTTGATACGCATGTGCTTGTTCAGCCCATGAAGCACAGCGTTTCTGGCCATCCCAAGAGCCCCCTTGCTATCACAAAACAGCGGCGTAGCAACTTTCTGCTCCTGGCCAATCTCCTCTAACAGCCTCCTCAGCCAAATCACCTCCTTCACCCCATGGAACATCGCCATGTACTCTGATTCTACAGAAGAGAGTGCCGTCTTCGTCTGCTTCTTGGACCTCCAACTAACAGGTCCTCCCCCAACTACGCAGATGTATCCTCCCACAGATGAGGAATCCTCCTTCTCAGAAGCCCACGTAGCATCGGTAAAGCAAGTGAGAAATAGCTTGCCTTCTCCAAGCCTCTCTCCCTTCTCTTTCAGCACCTCTACCCCTTTCTGCTTCACCTGTGCAGATGCGGAGTATTGAACTCCAATGCTTGGGTGAGAGTTCAGGTACTTCACCACACGCTCAGCTGCATCCACCTGCTCCTCTGATGGATTCTGCACCACCCTAGCCAGCTGCCCAACCGAGAAAGAGATGTCGGGCCTTGTGTGAACTGCTGCGTACAAGAGGCTGCCCACCAAGGACTGAAATTGCTGCTGCTCCTCGGCTTCAACCCCTTCATCCTCTACAGCCTTCACAAGCTTGAATTCTGCTGGCAGGGGAGTTGCAACCTTGCGCTCATTCTCAATCCCATACTTCTCCCCCAGCTCCTTGATGAACTTCTCCTGGTGCAGCTTCAACCACCTGTGATCAGGATCCCTCTCCACGTGCATCCCGAGGTAGTACTTTACCTCCCCAAGGTTCTTGCACTTGAAGTTTTCCATCAGTTGCTGCTGCACTTTCTGGATCTCCTTCATGCTGCTGCTGAAGAGAAGAATGTCGTCCACGTAGACCAGAAACAGCACCAGCTTCTCCCCCTTGCCCTTGAGAAAGAGGCTCTCATCACAGCTGCTGGTCCTGAATCCCATCTCCTCTAAAACAGCTGCCAACTTCTGGTACCAGCAGCGTGGCGCCTGCTTCAAGCCGTAGATGGACTTGTTGAGCTTGCACACCCTGCCCGTACCATCCTCATAAACAAGACACGGAGGGTAGGGGGTTTGGCAGTGGGAGCAAAGATCTCGTTGAAGTCCTGCTTCTCCTTCTGCATAAACCCCTTCGCCACCAGCCTACTCTTGTAGATGGTGACCTGCCCCTTGTCATCGGTCTTGATCCTCAGCACCCACTTGCATTGTATCGCTTTCTTCCCATCAGGCAGCACCACCAGATCCCATGTCCCATTCTCTAGCAGGCTCTGGTACTCAGCATCCCTAGAAGCCAGCCACTTCTCCCTATCTGGTCCAGCTAGTGCCTCCTCCATGCTAGCTGGTTCCTCTGGTGCAGGGGCAAGAAAACAGTACGCAGGCTCGTCCTCCTCATCCGGGTCATAGCCATGAGGTAGAATCAGCATTGCCTCCTCGGTCCCAAGCTGCTGCTCCGCTACACCTGATCCTGCAGTCAGCTTCTTAGTAGCCATACGGGTACGTCCTGGCCTGGAGACGGGTGTCTCCCATCCCCTCATAACGATACCCTTCGGCTTCTTAGTTTTCCCCTGCTGCTGCTCTCCTCCCTCGGATCCAGCAGCTCCACTAGTGCTGCCGCCAGTTTCCACACCATTTTCTCCACCAGCAGATGCCTCCTGTACCTTCTCTCCATCACCATTCCCCGCAGCTGCCTCCTCTCCCTCCTCCCACACACTAGGAGTCAGGTCCAACTGCATGGTGATCTGCTCCATCTGCTGGGACACCCAGGCCTCCGGCTGTTTCTCCCAGCTCCCGTACATCATGCCCTCAATGAATTTCACATCCCTGCTGTCAAACATCACACCCTTGGATGGTTCCCACAGCAGCCATCCCTTGCTCTCAGCAGCCAGCCCCAAATGCACACACCAGATTGCACTCGCCCCCAACTTACTTCGGTAGGTCTTGGGGACGTGGGCGACTGCCATGCAACCGAACACCCTCAGCATGTCCACCGGCGGCTTCCTCCCAAGCCACCTCTCCAAAGGCACCCACGAGTCATCCCCAACCTTGGTGAGCACCCTGTTCCTAGCGACGGTAGCGTGCCGGACAGCATGAGGCCACATCGAATTGCTCAGCCCAGATTCTATGAGCAGAGCCCTAGCTGTCTCCAGAATTGTCCGGTTTGCCCGTTCTGCTACACCGTTGGACTGTGGGGTGTAAGCCGTGGTCAGCTCCCTCTGGATGCCCTGCTTCTTGAGCCAGGCCGTCATTTCAGCTCCAAGGAACTCACCACCCCGGTCTGTCCTAATCCGCTTCACTACACACTCCGCCTGCTTCTCCACGAACGGCAGCCAATCGTCCCGTATCGTGGAGGCGGCGTGGTCCTTCTGCTTCAGCGGATATGCCCACATCAGCCTGCTCCAATCATCCACAATTGTAAGGAAATACCGCTCCCCCTTGTGCCCTTGCACCGGCAGCGGCCCCACCAAGTCCATGTGGACCAGCTCCAAAGGCTTCTTGCTCCTGCCAGCCACACTATGGAAAGGGAAACGGGTGAACTTTGAAAGCAAACAGATTTCACAGTTGTCATTGGGTGGCTGTCCGTTCAGCTTCAAACCCTTAACGGCTCCATCCTTCTCCAGCTGCTTCAATAAGGGCATTGCCACATGCCCCAAGCGTCGGTGTGCCGTTGAACAATCCGTCTCCCCAGATCTGGCCGACACTTTCACGCCAACCCCTCCAACGGCGTTGCACTCCCCCTGGGATGCAGACCCCTCTCTAGCCTGCCCCCCACCGTGCCACGCCAACACCGGCAGCTGCCACATGGATCTGTACACGTCCTTGCTCTCGTGCAGATCCCAAAGCACCCGATTGCCCAGCTGCCCCTTGTACGTGCGAGCCCCATCCGTGCTAGTGCTCACCCCAGCCTTGGCAAGCTTACGGAGGGAGATGAGGTTGGCCTTGAGGTCGGGGACGAGGAGAACGTCGTGCAGCACCACCGGCTTGCCATCCGCTCCCTTAAACGCAGCTCGTCCCGCACCAGCCACCTTCAGCGCGTGTCCAGAGGCGGAGCACACCTCGTTAATCGGTGCAGCGCGTACGTCGTCCAGCAGGTCTTTGCGCGGCGTCATCGTCCAAGCAGCGCCCGTGTCCAACACCCAATAGTCCAGGGGGTGCAGCTCTGCTCCAACCTTGGCAGAGGCGTCTCCTTGCTCCCCCTGCTCTCCAATATGGAAGAACTGGCCCGCGGTGCGCTCCTTCTTCTTCTCCGCACCAGCGTTGCTCTTCGGGTTGTTGTCGGACGAATCAGCGACCATGTTCGTGCCGTTTTTCTGGTTCCTCCGTGCGCCGCCATCCTGTTCACGATTCTGGGGGGTCCATCCATCGGGTTTCTTATAGCACAAAAACCAGGGGTGCCCTTCCTTCTCACAATACCAGCAACTCCCTTTCATTTTGCCACCAGCACCCGACTTGCCCCCACGTCCAGATTTCGCACCGCGACCCCAACCGGTACCTCCTTGTTGGTCGTTGGAGTCGTCGTCCTTCTTTGCACCGCGCCCAGCACCACCGAAGCCACGTCCTCTGCCACGTCGGTTCCCTTGCATCCCGTAGCCGCTGCTGCCGTCGTCTCCACCCCTCAGTTGGCGGCGATGGAAGTCCTCCTCCAGAATCTTCGTCCGCACCCACTCGAGCGTCCACGAGCTCTGGTTCTGCGGCAGGCTCAATCCGCTCGTGAATTGAAGCCACGATTCCGGCAGCAGCGAGAGCATCTTCAGGCACTTGGTCTACTCCGGGTAGGTGATTCCCGCGGTCGCCAATTTCGCGTAGAGGTCGCGCATCTTGTCCATAACTGGTTGCACCGGCTCTCCCTCGCTCAATCGCAACGCGGACAGCTCCCTCTCCATCATGAGCGTCGCGGCGACGGAGGTAGGAGCGTGCAGCTCCTTCAGCACGGTCCACGCCTTTGGACCGCAATCAACCTCCGGCAGCAGGTGCATGACGTGGTGACGCTGGTTCAGCTCCAAACTCTGCGACATCAAGTAGTAGCCAGCCGATGCGCGCTCGTCCCAATCTTCCTGCAGCGCGGGGTCACTCGGTCTAGGCTCTTCCCCAATCATTAGTTTCAGCAATCCAATCTGACGGAAGTAAAGCTGCATTTTCCAGGCCCAATCATCATAGCCCTCACCATTGAACTTCTCGACGGTGAAATTCTTCAGCACCTCCTTGATCAGCGAGCTCTGGTTGGTTCGCGCTCCCCTTGGCGCCGAAACACCAGAATCTTGGCTGCCGCTACGATCTTGGGCTGAAGATTCACCAGCTCCTGCCGAGGTGTTGCCCGTCATAGCTACCTATAACGAGGATCACTATAACGCAGCTCTGATACCAGCTTGTTGGTGTAAGGGCCTAAAAAACTCAAGCTATTAGGACTTAATCAAACTTAAAACCTCTCCTCGGGGTCACCTCCAAGGGTCCCTGGGTGCCTGGTACAAGACCAGCCCCTATCCTCGGGTCCGAGTTTGTAGAGAGAGGAGTTTAAGAATGACTTAGCCAAAATAACAAGAGTACCTTGAACGTCGCGCAGCGTGCCGTGCAGACCGTCGATTGGATTAAGCTGAGAATTCGCTATATCGAAGCTTGCTCCAAGAGCTTTAAAATAAGCCAAGTTGCCTCGCGAAAAGTTCTGCCATTATGAAGTTATGGCTCGGACAGCGTTTGCCTAGCGTTGGAGTGCTAGCATACTAGCGTTGACTCGGGCAGCATTCCGCCGTCGAATAGCGCAGAAACGAAACTCCAGCGAGGAAGGAATTCGCTTGAATCAATTTTTACTATATTCAGGTACAAACAGAGAAGGATTAAATAGTTCTAGCTAGCACAGACCTTGGGAATCAACCTGGGAACAACCAGGGATGATCCCAAAAAATTCCAAGCAGCAGAACCAACCTGGCTGGACAAAATAGCAGGTGGTAGGTTGGTAAACAACCTCTGGTTCTGTTTTTTCCAACCTGGGAAAACAACAACCAGGTTCAGGTTCTAATAACAGAACCTGTTTTGTCTTTGCCCAACCAGCCAAATGCTGATTCCGCTGGTTTCCCCTGGCCCTGTAGCATGCAGATACAGACAAAGAACATCCAACCTTCACCTAAATTGTATCCCTATAGTGCCTGCCCTGCTACACTATAGTCAACCAAGCAAAACAGTACAATTTCGAGTTGGATAGAACTGGATCTGCGCAATCAATTCAACCGAACCGCAAAGCTTCCATCCTGGGTTCCTTTGCGAGCTCGTCCTTTCTGCTTGCACTGTTCATAGCGCGTACAATGTTGTGCCGAAGCGCACATTGCGCGAGTACCTGCAAATGCATCAAGTGAAAATTGCGAAAGCAAACAAACACACGAACATTCCATTCACACACAAATGCATTCGCACACGCATACTCGTACAAACAGACGGCAGGATGTCCTGCAATGTGCATTTGCACCCAACACAGTGGAGGTGCTTGTCCCAGTCCTGCTTCTTGCTCTCCCCAAAAGCCTTCAGCCCGCGCTTCAGTGTCTGAATCAGTCGCTCTGTGAGCCCGTCGCTCTGAGGGTGGTACCGTGAGGTAGTGTGGTGAGGGATCAAGCATGAGGCCAGCAACTCGTGGAACTCGCCTTGGAATTTGGTCCCCTGGTCCGTCAACACTTCCCCCAAGCTCCAAATTGAGTCAGCACATGTTCTTCAAAAGCATCCGCCACTGCCGCTGCTGTCTTATGGCTCAAGGCCCGGACCTCCACCAATTTGCTCACATGCTTGATCATCACCACCACGTAGCGTCTCCCCCGCTTGGTCAGCGGCAACTCCCCAGCTATGTCCAGCGACCACCGATAGCCTAGCCCCACAACTAGCAGGGGCTGCAACTCATCCTTGCTTCTCTCGAATGTGGCTCGATTCCTGATGCACGCCGGGCACCTCGTCACCCAGTCCTTGATCTCCTTGTGCATGCCCGCCCACCACCATCCTGTCTGCAACAATTGTTGCGTTCGAAGGGGGCCATAATGCCCCAGCTTGTTGTGTACCTCCTGTATGTTCCCCTGCTGCTCCTTTGGTGCTGGCACCCGCTTCCACCCGTCTTGCGTGCGAATCTGCACTTGATTCTGGTACCAGCGGTAGTGCTGCCCTCTGCTCCTGGCTCGCACCGAAACCCTCCCTTCCTCTGCGGTCTCTCCTTTCAGCTATGCCATCTTCTTCTCATCCTCCCAGATGTCTGATGCTCCCGCCTGCTGTTCCCTGCGAAGCTGAGTCACGGGGTCTGGGGTCATAGTCGTGAGCGCCATCTCTGGCGCCATTGCTGGCGGATTCCTGGACAATCCGTCCACATGCTAAACGGTCTTGCCCGGGCGATGACGGATGACAAACTGGTACTCCTGCAGCTTCATGGCCCACCGTGCGTTTCGCCCAGTGAGTGTCTGGCTCTGCATCAGCCATAGCAGCGGCTGGTGATCTGTGACCAGCGTGAATGGCCGACCCTGTAAGTAGACTCGAAAGTGGCCAACCGCCACTTCAAACCCCAGGTACGTCACCGACGTGTGCCCAAAGCGGCACTTTTTGGGGTGACATATCAATCCCGCCCCCTTGATCCTGTGCACCGCTTCCGCCAGATGCTCCACGTGTTCTTCCGCCGTGGCACTAAACACAATGACGTCATTGATGTAGCAAAGTGCTCCTTCCATTCCCCGCAGCACCGCGTCCATCACCTTCTGGAACAACAATGAAGCGTTTTTCAGCCCGAATGACATTCTATTCCATTCATATGCCCCGTCTGGTCCATGAAACGCAGTCTTAGCCTTGTCCCCCTCCACTATGGGAATCTGGTTGAATCCCTGCCTCATATCTAATGTCGAGAATATTTGGGCCCCCGCCATCTGGTCAAATATCTCATCCACCATCGGTGTTGAGTATCGCTCCGGCACGGTCACTTTGTTGAGGTCCCGGTAGTCCCCACACATCCTCCTAGACAACACCGTGCCCGCCAGATCCATCCTCGCAGCCACCACTGTCGCAGCCGCATAACTAGACTCTGACCGACGAATCAGCCCCTCTTCCAGTAACTCCAAGCACTTCTCCTTGCACACCTCTAGATTTTGCGGGCTCATCATGCGCCTCCTCTGGTACACTGGCACCGTTGTCGTTAGGTTGAGTGTCATGACCGCATAGTTGCAGCACCCCAGCTCTTTCAATAGGCGAATGCGTGGCGATGCTTTGCCAACAACGACTGTACTGCTTCCCTTTGCTCCCCCTGCAATCCTTCCCCTATCTCCCATGGCGGTAGTTCCTCCGCTTGCCCCTTGTTCGGAGCCTCTTCAGTCCCCTCCGTTCTCCCTCTTCCCCCTTCACCCCGTCCTTCTGCTCCACTCGTGACATCCCGTGCCATGTACGCCGACCCCAAGGGTGGCCAGCCTAGTGGTAAAAAAAATTCGCTTCCATGTCGAAGTCAGAGTCGTGAAACTCTTCCGGGGTGTCTCCTCTTCCCTCTCTTGTGCTTTCTTCCATCGCCACTTCCTCCTCTTCTTCTTCTTCCTCCTCGCTCTCTTCCGGATCCGCGTATCTCCCTGGAATCCCCTCCCGCTCGTCCCTCCAGCTGGCCCTTCTGTGTTCCTCTGGAATTCCTCTCCACCACTGGTGCTCCTCCTTCTCCTCCAACTCTTCCAGCATGGTCCATGCTTCCACTTCTTTGTCTGCAGCCAAGCGCGTCTGCGGCCTGATCTCCGCTGCCTTGCCAATCCTCCTCTCCAGCCACTTCTTCTCCAGGTGATTAGTCATGGTGGTGAATAGCCAATGTAGGGCATTGAATTCCATTGCTCGCCCTAGAGCTGCCCGCCTGTCCTTCTCTGTCATTTGGTCGCATGCGGTGGCCCCTGCCAAGAAACCCATAGCCAACTCCCGTTCCTGCGCCGTCGGCTCCTCCCAATCTCCTCTCGACTGGTCGTACACCATGCCTGGGCCCGCCACTCCTCCGACCATCTTGAAGCCTCGGGCGTCTTCATGGGCCACCAGCGTGGGCCATGCCTGCCGCGGCTTCCCAATCTGGTTGCACGGGTATTGCGTGGGGTGGTTTTTCTTCGTCAATGGCGCCGCTAGCCTTCTTTGTTACAGCACATCCTCCACCAGCCTTGCTCTTGGTCGTTACATTCGCGAGAGCTGGTAATTCAGCGCGGCCTCTGGGATGACATTCTGACATTACCGTCGGGGTAGATGTGTCGGAGTTAACAGACAGGAATGGTTGAACTAACAGAGAAATCAGTACAAAATAGCAAACCCTAGAATTGTGTACCCCATATAGGCTAACCCACTGTAGCCTAACAAACCCAACATATATAATGTTTGACACACCCCCATAGGCAAAGTGGGGGAGACCTAGGGGTCACAAGACCAGTCAAGGCAAAGCAAGGCAACAACAAGCTCAGGGTGGATCTCGAGGATTCCACACAAATTCCGAGCACAAGCTAGTGGTCACAAGACCAGTTCACATGCAGGTTTATAACAGAGCCAGAGATACAGCGATCACAACCTAGCAAGAGTAAACATGCAGGTATAGATATATATAGTGATCACAGTACAAGCAAAGTCAAGAGGTAAGCAAGTGAGGTCCAGTAGGCACAAGACCTAGTAGAGTGCAGAAGCGCTGATGGTCACGAGGCTGAAGCGCCTTGGTGAACACATCAGCAGTGTTGGCCTCAGTGGCCACGTAGCGAATACAAAGCTGACCGCGCTGCTGCAGCTCTCGAGCAAGGAAGTACCGCAGGGCGATGTGATTCGTTCTGTGCTCCAGTCTGTGCTCCTCACACAAGGCAATGGCAGCCTTGTTGTCGACGTACAGTACTGGAGGAGAACGAGGCGGCTCTCCGAGGTCAGTCAGCAGGTAGGTCAGCCAGCGTAGCTCCTGGGCAGCCATGGCTGTAGCGTAGATCTCAGCCTCGCAACTGGAGCCGAGAACAGAAGAAGAGCGAGTAGAGCGCCAAGAAACTGAGCCAGAGCCAAGGCTGAAGGTGTAACCCTGAGACGACCGCTGAGTGGCCTGGTCGTCTGCCCAAGAAGCGTCTGAGTGCCCTGTGAGCACAACTCGGTCTCGCCCTCCAAG